AGAGAATCATAAGAAAAATAGCACAGTCACTCATATCCAAGGATGCCAGTCTACTAGGGTGGCTAGCTAATCCCCATTGCAGACGCCTGCTGAGGCACATTTGTGTTTGTTCAACACCAACAGAGCCTACCTGTGGTTTATACTGCAACTATGCTAAGCAGGCCTTAGTTATAGTTTCTAGGAGTGAGCACATTATCTAGCAAGATCAACAGTCTGAATAAGGTTAGCATGCTCAAACCCTCGGTCATGATGACTTGTGACTTTGTGCTAGCAATTTTAAGGACAACAGAAATGCAAATAACTTATGATTTATATCTCTTTTCTTTGTGAATCTGGGACATGGCAAGCCAAGTGATGCAATGAGCTACTCTAATAGAATGCATGTTAGTTTTTTACTGAGTTTTCAAACCAATGCTATTGACATCTTTGCCCTTTTCCTGTTTATGATAGAATTGATGAAAATTAACCCTAAAATTCAATGGTTTAATAATATACCATGGTTACTTTATCTTAATGGCTTTTGGCTGAAATTTCTATAACTAAGATTGAACTTCAAGACACAAGGGGTTACGAAGTGTCAAAGAATATGAGAAAAAAAAACATTAACAAGAGAAGACAGTAAAAGAACAAGAATCAAGAAGACAGAAGATAACAATTGACATTGCAATTCAATTTTTGAAGATCAAAGTTGACTGGAATGCAAGCAGCCGGAATTGACTTTTACAAGCAAAAAGTGCGAGAGAGAGAAGAAACTGTTAGCATAGAACTTATGGTTACGACTAGCCATTTCAAAAGTAAAATGATCTCCACCAATAGGACAGTGGTTTATTACAGTTTATATTTACATTACTATCAAGTGACTTATGGCTGCTGTAACATTTAGGATATGAAATTTGTCTCTAAGTAATTATTACATTTGTAAATAAAAGTGTTAAATTCAACAAAAAATTGTTTATTAATTCAGTGCTTAGAATTATTAAATTTAAGAAAGATTTAATTGTATTCATATTTGGCATTTGAAACAGAATCTGGTTTACATTTCATACTGTTTGCTTTTCAAATTGAAGTTTTTGCAACAAAAGTTAAAGCTGTAACAAATACTCTACACAAGAATTTCAAGTATCGTTTCTCATTTTAGGTTTGCCATGTGTTCAATTTTCCCCTCCCCCTGCCCTATCATGGTTGATATTGTGAATGTGTGTGTGTGTGTGTATATATATATATATATATATATATATATGTATATGTATAAAAACACACAGCAGGTGCAATTTTGTTTCAATTTTTCTTTAACTTTGAACAATTCACTTTAAGACAATTTATATGATTAAAAAATCATGCTGCCGCCAGGTTTAAATATGACACAAAATTATCATGAGAGCATATGAAGAGATGCTGAAAGATTTTTAACCCGACAAAGAAGTCTAAAGGGAATAAATTCTGATGTTTTTGATTTGATCAGATTTTTGGAAGTGAGTTGTGCTGAAAACTTTGCAGCATGGACTCATATAAATATAACCTTTAATAAGCACTGTCAATCAAATGAAAAATATGCAAATGTACCAATTATTAAAGGACAAGAGTTAGTAATATGCATTTTGATGATAGTATTAATTTGCATGAGAATATTGAAAGAATTAGTTATTAACATTTCAAGTTGCTATTGTAAAAAGGGAAAATATCCAGGAAAAGCTGAGATGAAATGAAAAAAAGAAAGAAAACTGAAGAACCTTTTATTGATTCTCTAGTCTTTTAGGAATACACAATATTCTTATAATAATATATACACTTTGTCTTCTTTACTTCTTCACAATCATCAAAGGGTAAAAGAAAACCTTTGTAATATAAAGAATACATTAATCAATATGATACAAAACTGTGAAAATCTTTTTTATTCCTATGTTACTTTCAATATTCAAGTTGCAAGTTTACACTAAGTGAAACAAGACAGGTATAACACTTCGATTTTAGGCAACAACTGCAAAGAATGAAAAAGCATTTTTGATTGAGTACAGAAGCAATACCTAGAGTAATCTCCCCTTTCTTCTTTATCCCAGTTAATTTTTTTTCTCTCTATTTGCTTATGCAGAATAAAATTAGCAAAGACTGATGATCTCAAAAATTATTTTAACCTTGCTAAAACAGCAGGAAAATATAATCAGTAATGACCCCAACTATCATATTCATATTCCAAAATAAACAGGAAATATTTAAAAAAAAAAAAAAAAAAAAAAACAAAAAAAAAACCCAAAAAAAAAACAAACCAAAAACAAAAACAAAACAATTATTTCCAGTATGCTATTTATATTGGGGCTATTGTCCTCATCTTTGTTGTTATCATAACATTTCAGCCTTGTGCCCTTGGGTCTTTATCAGGTGTATATTGATGTTAATAGCCTAAAGGACAATGGCCTAGTAGATTAACGCATTGGTTTGTGAATTTGGTGACACAGTGATTGAGAGTTCAATCTCTGGGTCTTGTAGATTAGTGCACTTAGTGGAAATGGGTGAGCAATAAATGAACAGTGTTAAATAATAAAAATAAGAACTAGACAAGTTATCCCTAGACATGACCAGTGGAACAAGAACAGTCTACTCCTGTAAATTAAATAAAGGGTTCATTTCAGAATTCACTGTAGGTTACCGAGATCGATATACACTTGAGGAAGGCTGGAGAGCACAACAGCTGAAATGTGATAACAACAACAAAGATGAGGACAATAGTCTGAATATAAATAGTGATAACTCTTTATCCCAGAAATTTAGGCAGAAATTTAAAAAAAAAAACAAAAAAACCTCAAAAGTAAATGTAAACAAAACAGAGTTATTTCTTTTATATACCATTTCTCAAAATGACCAGCAATTGGATTGGATACACTCGAACCGACCACTCGACCATGCCTCCAAGTAACTGGATTACAGGATCATGCCAGAAAGATTTTTTCTTAATAGTCCAAATTAGAAATTTATTATAGTTGAAGTCAAGAAAATATGCTTAATAAAGAAATCCTAATACCAACAGCTGAAGTCTAACAGATTTCATTGCCTTTACAAAATTTATAAGGTTAGACATTGAGAGAGAGAGAGAGAGAGAGAGAGAAAGAGAAAGTGAGTGTGTGTGTGTGTGTGTTACTAAAAAAAAAAAGGAGTGAATGATATGCAAAATAAAGGCATCCAGGTATGCACAGATAATATAGAAGTTTGGCTAAAAACCAACAGAAATCCTTAGTGAAATCTTTAACAAAGGAGTTTCATTGGTCTTTAACCATATTTTATATTTATATATATATATATATATATATATATATAAAAATAAAAAAGAGACAAGAGGAAAACTATTCTAAGACGATGTGTTTCATCCTCTGAGCGATTTATCAAGGCAATGTAGGATTTATTTTGTTGCACATGTTTATATACAAAAGTGAGGATGTCATTGGTTTATCAAGGCTTTTACATTGTGCAACAAAATAAATCCTTCATTGCCTTGATAAAAGTCACTCAGAGGATGAAATGTGTCGGCTAAGAATAGTTTTTCCACTTGTCTCTTTTTATTCATTTTGTTCCACTACAAAATGAAAATTGTATATATGAACACAATTTTAAAGAGTTGATTTGTATATACATGCACATATCTAATAACATAATTTGGTGGGGTGTAAGCAACTTTGCCCAACAAAAGCTTTCTGAAAATTTTTTTTTTTTTAACAAGTTTATATGTAAACAAATAGAAATAGATCCTCTTTGAAGAGCAAAAAATAACAACAAAGATAAAAATATGGTTAGACAAACATACCCTCTTCAGGGTCCATGACCCTCCAACCTTTCACAGCCATGAAAATAGGAAGCTTAATAATTCCAAACTGGTAAAATCTCAATGTAATCCCTTTTGTGTCTTTCTCTTGAATTCTGTGTTGCTGGTGATTTTTAGTGCAGCAAAGGGTGCACCCAGGGGATTATGAATGCCTGCAAACTACTAGGAGTGTTGCAGAATAGTTTTTGTTTTGTAAAATCATCCTGCAGGTTATGCACTCAAAAATGCATGTTTGTATGCACACAGCTGATGTATCAGCTGTGTGACAGGAAAGGAGTTTGAAAGATAAGAGTAGGATGAGAGGGAGAAGTTAAGAGTAAGAGTGAAAGACTGAGAGAAGTGGGATGAGGGTTTAAAGAGAGATAAAGAGAAAATACATGAAAAGGATCTGTCAATGAATTGACGAGTTATGAAATTCAAAGAGAGCAGGTGTGATGGGTAGGGGACAAATACTGAGGAAGGTACAAAGAAGACAGGAAAAAGGAAAAGTTATAGGAACAGAATAAGGGGAAGAAAGAGCGAAGAAAAATATCAACTCTATAATTGGAGATTGAGGGTTAAAAGTTTTGGGTAAGGAATGAATTTGGGTGGGGGCATTTAGAGAGATCAGGGATTGTTTAAAAAATGGAAAAGGGTTTAGAAAAAATGACAAATCACAAAGAGGACATTGAAAGGAAAAAGAAAAGAAAAACTCTGAAAAGGGGAAAATGTGAAAAAGATGATAAAGAAAATTGATAAAAAAGAGGAAAAATTAAGAGGAAAATTAAAAAGAAATAAAAGGGTCTTAAAGCAAAAGTAATAGAAACATTAAGTATAATAAGATCTATATGAAGCACAACATCAGATAATTTCTTTAATTGCAATGACATACATAAAGTAAGCTAATTATAAAACTTATAAAAAGAAATTAAAAAAAGATAAATGAGCCAGGAAAAAAGATTTAAAAACAAGGATTCTAACCAAAAAAACATGACAAAGTTACAACTAAAATTGAAGAAAAAAGTTTAAAAAAAGAGGGCTGGAAAGAAAGTAAAATTTACAAAGGAAAAGAGAGATACAAAAATATATAATAAGATAAAGTTAAAAGAGTACAAGAGAAAAGAAGAAATGTGAGAGTTTTAGAAAGAAAAATGTTTTTAATAGTGAATTAAAAAAATAAAAGACAAAGACAGCCTGATAGAGTGAAGAGCTAAGAAGAGGAAAATATATAGAGAGAAAAAGAATGAGAGAGAGAAAAAGAATGAGAGAGAGAAAAAGAATGAGAGAGAGAAAAAAAGAATATGAGAGAGAGAAAAAAAAAAAGAAGAGAGAAAAAAAGAATATGAGAGAGAGAAAAAAAGAATATGAGAGAGAGAGAAAAAAAGAATGAGAGAGAGAGAAAAAAAGAATGAGAGAGAGAGAAAAAAAGAATGAGAGAGAGAGAAAAAAGAATATGAGAGAGAAAAAAGAATATGAGAGAGAGAAAAAAAAGAATGAGAGAGAGAAAAAAGAAGAGAGAGAAAAAAGAATATGAGAGAGAAAAAAAAAGAATATGAGAGAGAGAAAAAGAATGAGAGAGAAAAAAAATATGAGAGAGAAAAAAGAATATGAGAGAGAAAAAAAGAATATGAGAGAGAAAAAAAGAATATGAGAGAGAAAAAAAGAATATGAGAGAGAAAAAGAATATGAGAGAGAGAAAAAGAATATGAGAGAGAGAAAAAGAATATGAGAGAGAGAAAAAAAGAATATGAGAGAGAGAAAAAAAGAATATGAGAGAGAGAAAAAAAGAATATGAGAGAGAGAAAAAGAGAATGAGAGAAAAAAAGAAATGAGAGAAAAAAAGAATGAGAGAAAAAAAGAATATGAGAGAAAAAAAGAATATGAGAGAGAAAAAAAGAATATGAGAGAGAAAAAAAGAATGAGAGAGAAAAAAGAATGAGAGAGAAAAAAAGAGAGAGAAGAAAAAAGAAGAGAGAAAGAGAATGAAGAGAAAAAAGAATGAGAGAGAGAAAAAAGAATGAGAGAGAGAAAAAGAATGAGAGAGAGAAAAAAGAATGAGAGAGAGAAAAAGAATGAGAGAGAAAAAAGAATGAGAGAGAAAAGAATGAGAGAGAAAAAGAATGAGAGAGAAAAAAAGAATATGAGAGAGAGAAAAAGAATAGAGAGAGAAAAAAGAAGAGAGAGAGAGAGAGAAAAGAATGAGAGAGAGAAAAAGAATATGAGAGAGAGAAAAAGAATATGAGAGAGAAAAAGAATATGAGAGAGAAAAAGAATATGAGAGAGAAAAAGAATATGAGAGAGAAAAAGAATATGAGAGAGAAAAAGAATGAGAGAGAGAAAAAGAATGAGAGAGAAAAAAAGAATGAGAGAGAGAAAAAAAGAATGAGAGAGAGAAAAAAAGAATATGAGAGAGAGAAAAAGAATATGAGAGAGAAAAAGTATAAGTTTGAGGAAGAAAGAGGAGCAAGTTTTGTATAAAAGTAAAAGAGTTGACAGAAGTATCAGAGAAGAGAATGAAAGGTTTTCTTGCACAAAACCAATTTACAAAATGACAGAACAAAGTAAATGTATTTAACAACTAAAGAACCCAATATCAGTCTATAGCCTTTTGGGGTTATTGCTGGTTCATGTATAGTTTTGTCATGCTACCGGAACCTTTGTCATCACATTCAGGCAAATGTTAAAAGACATGCTTGGAGAAAGGGTATAGGAATTATGAAGATCATGAAGATGATGAACAAGTCTGTAAAGACAAGTATTCAGAATATAAAATCTCCTAAATTAGACATAAGAAAAAGAAGGAAAAACTAAAAAAACAAAAAGAATTAAATAATGTTCATAAAAAGAAAGGAGAAAGAGGGGGAGATAGAGAGGGAGGAGATAACCCAGTAAAAACTGGGAAAGAGTGGAAACAATAAGAGATAGAAAAAAAGAGAAAATGGAAAGGAAAACGAGAAAGACATTAAATAGATAAGAAGTGAGATAAATGGAAAATAGGGTATGGAAACACTGGGAGATGGTTAACAATGAAGAGATAAAAATTGTTTAAATGAAGGCTAAAAAGAAAGTAAAAGTGAAATAGAAACAAACAAGTTAGTGATAATGAAAGAGGACTAAATAGAAAGAAAACAGAATTGCATTCAAAAAAGAAAATAACAGAAGAGAGAGAAAGAGAGACAGACAATAAGGAAGAAATGAGGATGTGGTTAAATTAAAGAAAAAGCTATAGTAAATGAAGACAAGCAAACAAACATTGAAATGATTGAAGGAGAAAAAAAAATGTTTCTTTAAATTTGAGATTTGTCAAGTAGGGGGGGGGGCACAAGACTTTTGTCAAAGGAACTGTCTCTACAAACAGGTTGAGTCAGAGAATGAAGAAATATTAAAGAAAAAATACGTCTCACCTAAACTCATGTAAACAGACTGACTCATTTTCTCTGAAATATTGAAAGTTTGGGGAGTTTTTTTTTTTTAAATGTTGACACCAAATTTCCCCCATTGGGTTTTAGAAAAGTGTTCATAAGTAATATTTTTTATAAAAAGAAAAAATAACTTGCCATGCTTTTCATTACACAAATACATATTTTGCATAGAATTTTTTTTTTCTTTCTTTCTTTTTTTTTTTTTTGGCTTACAAATTCTATTTGTGTAAGCCAAAAAACTAATTTTTAATGAAGGCATTTTAATATCTTGATTTTATATTTGACAATTGCTCCAAATTGAAAAACATAGAACTGTTAATAATATGAATTCTAACAAGTCGTTTTTTATTCTACATTTTATTAAGTAAATAAAGAGAAGATGTCACACTTTGATATCATGTATTGATAATCAACTCTTAAAAAAGGTTTTGCACTACTTTGTCCAGATAACAGGTACAAAGTTCTTCATTTATAATTAGACTACCCATAAACCCATTGGGTTCCTTTTTAAAAGAGTTCATGACATAAAATGATGAGATAACAATATTATCAATTTTATTATTAATTATACATATTTTAATTTGTATTAGCAATACATGTTACTGTAATAATTATTATTACTCACATTATACAATATTACTTAAATCAAACACAATAATAAATGAATAAATAGAAAGATTTTCAGAATTTCAAGAAAAACACAATCCCTGATGCACAAAAACAGAAAAAAAAAAACACAAAACTCAACATATTTAAATTGTCTGATATCACTGAAATAAATTTAATAGTTTTAACAATTCATATATTGATTCCATGAATAACACTTAATTTGTTAGAAGGGGAAGATATTCCCTTTAAATGTAGTTAATTACTATGAAATGAGTATATATTGCTTCAAGAATGTATTTAGTCATCAATCGACTATTACAATACATGATCACACAAGAGATAAAAATGTAAAATCATCGTTTGTAGGCAATCAACTTTGTATGGAATCTCTCATTATTAGCCCTTTGCTTGTCCAGGGCATTTTCATGTGTACTATCCAAACATTCATGCTTGTTTTCAGATTTATAAGTATTGCAAAGCAACTCAGCTTATTTGGTAAATAGAATGTGCTGATATATAGTGCGTCACATAATAAAAACATACAAATCATAAATTATTTACATTACACCCTGTGCATCACATGTAATGCTGTTGTAGAGTGAACGAAAATTTTTCTTCCTCCATATAAGTTCGAATCGTCGTCGCCAAGTGTTGTTATGGAGTATGAATGTTTTTCTTCCTCCGTATGAATCCGAATACCTCGTCATCAAGTGTTGTAGAGTGGTTTCACAGTGGAGGCTTGTATTTGTACTAAGTCGGTCCTAAAATAGGTTCGACGTACAAAACATTAGGAACTTGATATAATAGGTAATGACGCAGAGAAATCTAGTCGTGGTCGCTGATACTTTAATATCCGACTAACGGTCATCCGACATCGACTGACTGACCAACTCCCTGAGTGACTTCTACTACTCCTACTTATTATAGGTGGGAGAGTCTATTAACTATAGAATAGGTGTGTTCCACCATAACAAATGCACAGGTTTTTATTATGTAAAACACTATATATCAGCACATTCTATTTGCCAAATAAGTGGAGTTGCTTTGCAGTAGTTATAAATTTGAAAACAGGCAAGCATCCTGTGTCATATATGATGCACAAAATATTAGATTAGAACTTTCCTCAGGTATCCAGCTCAATAACAGACTCTTTTCTTAAGCATCCTTAATTTTACCACTCTTTTCAAATCATGGCTTATGTGCACCACATATGATGCACGAACATGGAAATCACATGTCCTGTGCATCACATATTATATACAGGTAAGGCAAAGGGTTAATATACACTGATAAAGAGTGTATAACATTTGTCATATATGACTCAATGGTTTACACATATCACACTAAAGGCATTTCCAGTCAACTAATAGTAACCTTGGGGTGACAATTGGTACCAATTTTAGTATTTACCATATTATAATTTGTCCATTACACCACCCATACATCCAAGTTTACAGCACCTGGTATTCAAAATGGGTTTAACCAACCTCAGTGTTGCTTAACTTTGGTGATTGCTTGAGAACCAGTGTTTCAACATGATATGGCTGTAAACCTTGAAATAGTGTGGAACCTCAACATCTTGATTATGTTGTCATTTTCTCTTCACATTATATGTGTGTAACTGATATGTCCCAGAAAGGGATATATTTGAATGAAGTAGCTAAGTGGTTTTGGCTACTATAACCAAGTAGAATACGGTAACAGTAATCAACTGGTACGCGTCATAGTCACAGGTAAGAAGTGTAGATCAATGGCGTAGTCCAATGGACGTCGTTATAGACTTAGCTCTCAGACTAAGGCTCTGACTCTCCTACACGTCCGTCAGTATTTATGATGGACACCAGCCAATCACATTCCAGTGAGGGGGAACACAGGTGTATGTATATTCCATTATATCAGTAACAGAGAATCAGGTCAACCCAACAAGAGACACAGAGTTGGTTGCATGTAATGCAGTATACACCAGCAGTTACATCTTCCACAATTGGCTGTTAAGAGAGGACATTCTACTTACAGTAGATAGTGTTGACCAAATTTGCATACAAACAATACTGGGCAAGTATTAGCCATTAGTAAGTGTGAGTCTGGGACTGAGAATGCTATAACACCAGACAAGGTAAAAACAATTTACAATTTTACAACTATACATTATTCCAGCTCTAAGGTAAAGCCTGTTAAGATTTAACAGAGAGGAAATTATATCAATGTTAAAGATTGAGAGACATACAAAAATAAAAATCCAAATATTGGGCTATCTAAAATAAAAAGAATTGGAAAACTGTAAAACAATCATTGAACAAAAAGAAAGTACTTCCTGAAAATATAGAGTTTATTCTGAAGCCCTTTTTTAATCAAGTGTTACAAAACCAATCAACCCCAAGAAATACATGAATAAATCTAACTTATAATTCTTTACACTGGTATTATATTATCTACTGAAATCTAACATCTAAACGTGCTATGTATCAACAGTTCTTTTTTTATTTTCATTGAAATATACAAGAGTCACTCCAAAAGTAATTTCATCGTTGTCTCACAAGAAGTGAATGCTGGTGACATGGTAGTGGTGATTGAACTTATCTGTCGTTACCCATAATTTTTGTTTTGTCACTGATAGCAGTCTGGTAAAATGATGTATGACAAAACTATGTATGAAGCAGAGGTGCATCATTGAATGTAGAAAAAAATTCTCCCATTGAAATTCATAAATATTTGCTGAACGCTTACAGTGACCAAATAATGGATTTAAGCACATTTTCTAATGCCTACTACACCTGGCTCAATTCACTCAAAACTGTTTCTTTTTTTTCTTTTTTTTTTTTTTTTAATATATATATATATATATATATATATATATATATTTGGTTGGATAGATGTGAGTTTGTGACCCTGGGTTTCACGCTGTAGCAATCGTCAGACAAATATTGAGTGCTTTCTAATAAGTACCGCGCATATCAAATATAAATAATTATACATATATATATTTATTTATATTTATATACACTTTTCACACACACACACACATTATATTATATATATATATATATATTAGTTAAAACTAAATGCTATCAGATAACAATAACATTTAACTTTTTAGGCTCCCCAACAGAATGATATTCTGACATATCAATAGCCATGTATTTTTTTTTTTTCAATTTAGGCTGACAATTTTTCTTTAATTCAATTTCCAAAGAACCCGAGACACAATGAAAAAAATGGAAATACAATACAGTCAGTCAGTTAAGTGCCATATGTCATATATGCTTGGGAAATCATGTCTTTTTCAAATTTTTCACAGTAGACTGACATTTCTTTCTGCAGTAGACTGGTTGCCAACCAAGACTATAGGATCTAGTCTGTTCTGCTATTCAACTTATTGCAGGGGGACAAAGAAATGGATTCATACCTTTCCCAAGGGTATTTGCGCATAAATGACTGTAATAAACTCAACTGGAATTCAATCTTGGTTCTCTGATTTCTTATTCCAAGCCACTGGCCACTATACATCACACTGCACATCCCTACACAGTACCTATTATAAAATCTTAAATCATTTTGCTTTTACAATCTATAAATAAATGGCAGGGGATTATAATATAATATATTACAATAATGATAAAGTTACCATGAAATGAACAAATAAAAAAAAATTTCCAAACAAAGATTTATTTTTGTCTGATTCTTTATTAAAAGAACAAAACCATGAGGTAGAATATGTTTATGATGAATAAAACTTAAAACATACAGGCCATGTAATATCAGGCATTTGTTTTTATTATTGAATACTGCTGTCATATTTGGTCTGCTGCTCCTACTATATATCTTTCAAGAATCTTGTCAAAATACAAAGGTTCTTTAATGGAATCGATCCTGGCCTGATAACTCTGCTTCAGTCACTTTCATACCAACATGATGTGGCTTTCTAAAAAAACATTTTCATAGCAATTGTTCTGATGACTTGTTCTCCTCAGTGGCCTTATTACATGAATTTAAACATGCTACTAGATTAGCAACTAGTTATCACCATTTTACTGTTGAACTAGGTAAATACAACCATCAATTCTATTCTAATAGTTTCTTTCTTCACACTTACTGATTTTGGAACTGCCTTCTGATTTCTTGCTTCTGTGTCACCTACAATCTTCAAAAAAAAATTAAATGCAACATCAATCACAATCATCTGTCTTCCTGAATCTTATTCCTTTATTTTCCTTTTCCTCACTAAAGCCTTCTTTTTTGCTCCCTATAATCCCCTGCATTCTAGTGGCATTATTGCCTTGTTTGGGGTGAAATGATTAAAAAAGAAAAATGATTGGCAAAATATTTCTAAACAAACATAGAAAATGCTATCCTTTAATCAGAGTTTAAAAAGTAAAGAAAAATTTCTATGTGCCATGTCCC